TACATCTGTAGAAAAATTTAAACTCGAGGCTATTATTTTAGTGACTAAATTTTTAAGAAATTGCAATATTGAATCTTTATTTATTTTGTGAAAACATAATTAGTTTCATTATAAGATCAGGATAAAATTAGATTCAAATTTTTTACAGAAAAGGTGCTTATTATCAGAACAGTTTGGTATATAGTTTTATTCGAAAATGCTTCAAATTCTTCATTCATTAACGATAACCTGCTTTTTGAAATATACTCCAGTCTGAATCACTTATAGTAGCTGAATCTGATGAAGACATATAATATACGTTGTCATCATTAATAGAAGAATCAGTATAGAATATCGAATTCATGTTACATGTATAACGATATGTGTGTGTGTGTGTGCGTGATTATATTTTTAATTTTAATACAAAATAATATTGTGTAACATTATAAGATTAGTTATTATCGTTATATTTCAAATTAAGATTTTCATAAAAGTTTTAGTCCGTTAAGAAAAAAAACATATATTTCTAATAGATAAAAGGTTTGTAACGAAAGTTTATTAATAAAAAGCATCTTCTTTGATTTAAATGTAATACACTTGTTATAAGAGCAAAGTAATTTTTCTTGCATTTTATCTATAGAAAAATTTGATGATCATACAACATCTCTATAATAAATGGATTTGCCTCAATTTTAGCGTGACATGTACACCGACCGTTAATGTTGCCCGAAAATATCAACACGTGATTATAAATCATAACCATGTGACATCGGTATTATATGATCTACCATGTACATATACCGATACATAAGTAATGTTTTGTAATGTTTGTAATACATGTAATACATATGAGTAGTTAACTTGTAATTCGTGCAGTTTTCATTGTGAGAAATTCTTGAAACCGTGGTAAGGTAAATATCCACTGCTCAATTTGGAAACATTCAATAATCACTATACATATGTAGTTAAAGAAAAACTGCTCTGCAACTACCGCTGCATGTAATTTAATTCACGATTTATTCTTTAAACAGAGTTACTAACGCTAACGCTAATACGTAATCACCAGCTTTATATGGAGATGGTTTGTTTTCGATATTTGCGAATTTGGTTTGAACCTGCAAATCATTACCATCTCCGTTACATACAGTAGACTCGTGTCGCCTATAAATGACTGGTTATAGATTATGGTTTTAAACTTGCATTTATTTTTTAAAAAATGGAACTTGAAATTCTTAAGACTGCACACAGCAATAAACTATTTCACCTATACGAGACTTCGACTTTTTATGATGTTTCATTAATCGTCGGTGAGCCAACGGTACAAAAAACATTTTCTGCTCATAAGGCGATCCTAGCAGCACAATCACAATTTTTTGTATTCGCTCTTTCTAGTAATAATACTGCTGCTGCTGATAACAATATAAAACTGCCAAATATCACGCCAAGAATTTTTGAAATTCTGTTGAGGTATTGAGTGATAATTTACACTTCGTCTTTTATTCATACATATCTAATAAGAAATATGATAACTTAGATATTTTTATTGTGGAGTTATGGAATTGGAAGAGCACTATGAGCCAACAATTTTAGATATATTGGATGCTGCAAAAAAACTCGAAGTTGAAGAACTAGTGCATTTTATTCAGATTTATTTAGAAAAACATAACACGCTTTCATTGACTGAGAAAACTTTTGTTGCATCTCAATTAAAGTTTGCGCACAGCAATAATTTACTTCGGCTATATGAAAATACGAATTTTTTTGATGTCCTATTGACTGTTGGTGAGCCATACGCACAGAAAACGTTTTTGGTGCATTCGGCGATATTAGCAGCACAGTCACCATTTTTTGCGACTGGTCTTTCGCATACTTGGGCTATACGAGAACCGAATAACAATAAAACAAAATTTAAAAAGCCAAATATCGCCACACGAATTTTCGAAATCTTATTAAGGTATTCACAAAATTAAATTATTCGTAAAATTTCTATAAATTCTGAATTAAGGTTAATTTTTAGGTATTTTTATGGTGGAATAATTGATGTGAAAGAATATTATATATCGACGATCCTTGATGTTTTGGAGGCCGCAGATGAACTTCTCATGGAAGATTTGACACGATATATTCAAAGTTATTTAAAAGAACACTGTAAAAATTTGATATCGGAAAACTTTGTTATGGTCTCGCAAACTGCATTCGAACATATTTCTCTAAAGAATCTTCAGGAAGTATGCGTTGATATCGCGACAGAGAATCCATCTTTCATCTTTTATTCAAGAGATTTTACTCGACTTCACATAGATTTTCTGACTTCATTGTTAAAACAGGATTATTTCAACCTCACAGAAATTGAAATTTGGACGAAACTGATTGAATGGGGGATTTCGCAATTTTCTGAAGGCAACTTGAATTTGCCACTTGAACAGTGGACAGACAAGGAATTTAGCGAACTTGAGTCAACGCTTTGCTACTGTCTACCACTAATCCGATTCTATCAAATCAATTGCAACGATTATATCGATAGAGTGCTACCTTATTCAAAAATCTTGCCTGATTGGTTGTTGAACTGCTTATCTTATTATTATCAATCTGCAGACCACGTAGAAAATTTAGCCTTTAATTATCCGATTCGAGACATATATCTTGATTCTAATATCTTGTCAAGGGAACAGGCATTTCGAATTATCGAATGGATAAAAGGCGAGGATATACGGCAAACAGGACAACTCATTTTTAAATTACTAATACGGGGTAGTCGTAATGGATTCGGGTACGAAAATTTTCATAAATTTTGTGATGATAAAGGACCAACGATCGTCGCCATTCGTGTAAAATATAGCCGAAAAATTATTGGAGGATATAATCCTTATACGTGGACTTCGCGTGATGAGCATTACGAAAATCTTCCGAGTTTTCTATACTCGTTTGATAGAAATAATCCCAATCAAGGACTATTGAGTAGATATAAAAAAGGTGTTGGTGTTTGGTGTGTCGCTAAATGGGGACCAGCATTTGGAGGCGGCAGTGATTTGTGTTTGTTTAATTCTTCAAATTATTGCAGAAAGTCTAGTTCTTATGAACCTGCTTTATACGAAAAAGATGCCGTCAACTTTGATATATCTGAATACGAAGTATTTCAAATTATACAAACCTGCAAAGGTTTCATGTAGATTTTTTGAAGCAAAAGCGTAGCTAAGTACATGTATATATCTTTGATTAGATTAGAATAATGAATACTTTTAAATCAAACGATTTCAGGCAATAAATTTAAATTGCATAAGAATAATTTTTCGTAATAAAAATCCTAATGATTCATGGTGTGCAACGTAAATCATCGTTTTTTAAATACATGTAAAACACTATCATAATCATTAACGCTAACGCTAATAAAATAAATTGTTATTTACACAATAGAAGTTATAAGAGCCTTCTTTTTTATGCGTTCTGTCTCTCATCGTTTAATGTTAATACATGTAGAACATGTAGCATTTACTAATCCCCAAGTTCTGATTGGATACAAGTAATTTCCATCGCTGATTGGTTGACTGCACGCCGGGTCTTATAAATTTTTGATCAACCCGGCAAAACAAATCCGACACAAGAAAATTAACAAGGCGAATAATGTGAAAAATACGGAAAACGAATGGGTAAACCTGGCCTGAAGCACTAATAAAAAATGTCGGGAAGATAATTTTACATATAATCTATTCTCCAGCCCTAACCCTTAATCCTAACGCTAAAACTAACCTTAATATTAGTAAGTTCGTACATGTATTCCTGTGTCATTTTTCATGCATAGCTCTCGATACAAACACAAACGGAAGTGAACGACTTTTACATATAAATCATCGTTTTTTAAATAAACACTGCCTAATCACTAATAAACTTGAGGATGGCATCTAAAACTTCGAATACTCAAATTTGTAATTATTGCTATAACTGTCTAAATGGTTATTACTGCAAAGCGTGTTCAGTTCACAATATTCATGATTGTAGTAAATGTATCGTTTGTCAAGACAATTACTACTGTGAGGGATGTTTTCGATATCACAAACGAATTTGTGTTGAGTGGTCTAGTGGAAATAAAGATATCGACAGTCTAATAAATGAATGCGACAGAATTGATGACTATGGATCCCTTTTGCAAGATTTACCAATGTTGAATATCTTGCAAAAGGAGGTTTCGGAACAATTTATAAAGCATCCTGACCATTTGAAGCAACCTTCTTGTTTAACCGTCAACCAAAGTGGAGAATAAATTTAAACTAAGGGGAGAATATAGAGTTGTGTTGAAATCATTACACAATTCAAAGCAAATTACATCCGAGTTTATAAACGAGGTAAAATGAACACCTTCAA